ACTAAAAAAAAATTGCTACTACAGGTAATCCTTGCTTACCAACCACTCGTTCAGCGACCGTTCAAACTTACAACAATGCTGAAAATAGAGACTTACAACCGATCCTCAAAGTTGCGGCCATTGCAGTATCCCCAGGGTCACATGATCACAATTTGGGCTTGGCAACCAGTGTGTATTTATAACAGTTGCAGTGTCCTGCAGTTGTGTGATCGCCATCTGCAACCTTCATAGCCAGCTTCTGACAAGCAGTCAATGGGGAAGCCAGCAGTAAGTAGCAAGTGACCTACAGTGATTCACTTAACGACTGCAACTGCAACTGATGGAACCAATGTCATAAGTCGGCATGGTCACATGATGTCACACTTAATGACAGTGCCTCTTAGCGACGAAGTTGTCGTTCCCAACTGCAGTTGGCAAGTGAGGATAACCTGTACTGTAACAGTGTTAACAATGGTGCCGGGGAAAGACAGGAATTATAATCTAACAGATCAGTTTAGAGAAGAAAGAGTTCGCTAAAATCAGCTCATTTACTCCAGAAGTCTTGTCAACTATCAGCCAGATAATTTTGGTAGTTCACAAACACAGTCTATAGGCTGTTCATACATCAGGCTAAGTGATTAAGATTTAGGCTTAAACAAACATGATTTAGTACAATGTGTAAACTTTATACTATTTTGTTTATAATTAAAATTTCTTTTATATACTATTTGTTTATAGTTGCATACATTACTTTTCTATGATGTACTGATACTATTAGGAGTTACATCCAAGAATTTATTGAAAGACTTGCTTTATAAAACTTTATTCTGAAGATAATCAAATATTTCTGAAACCACAACATGAAACCTGATCCCTGTGTTAGGACAGATCAAAACATGGCAAAACATTGTACAAGCTTCTGCAAGCTCCAGAAGCTTGTACAAGCTTTTGTGATATTTTAAATTTGTTCATCAATTCATCAGTGAAGATGTAAAAAAACACAAGGGAGCAGACAGAAAAAAACCCTCCCAAACTTAGGAAATATCTCTACAGCAGATAGCAGGATTAGACCTGGTTAGCAAATGGACAGGAGATTACCAAGATCCCATGGAACTGCAGGCTGGACTGGGAATTATTTCAATTTATATGGCTACCCATCTCAAATTCATGACTCTGGGTGGCTAACAATAGTTAAAAATATGTAACCGTAAAACAAAACAAACCCAAACCCAAACACATATACAATCAGCAGCCGAGGTAAAAGCAAAACCACCAAGAACAAATTGACATAGCCATTGCATGGGCTGTAACACACATCTGGATCCCCAGTCTGGTCTTTAAAGGTTTGCAAAGAAGGCAACAGTCAAGCCCTTCTGTACTGTTATGAAGAAAACAACAGAGGTATGTTCATGAAGTCACCAGGATGGAGACTATACTTTAAGCAATAAGGTCTTATTCAGAGTCAAACATCTGTCCAACATCTAAAGAGAACCTGCTGAGAATCCCACCTCCTGGAGAGGTGCACAGGTTGTGGATTAAATAACAGGACTTCCCTCTGGTAATTCCCACACTCTGGACCATTCTTTCCCCAGAGGTACATTCAGCCCCATCTCTTTTTGCGTTTTGCAAGCAGATCTTCCAAAGGAGGCCTTCAACCCTAGTTCACAGTGGCTATTCATCCTAGGAATGTTTATTGTTTGTGTCAATTGCTTTTTGTTTTTGTACTTTGTTGTTCATCTTTTGTACTTTGTTATAAGCGTTGTGGTGGTCTACAAATATATTTAAATAAGTAAATAAATAGCAATAGTGTCAGATTATTCTGAGTCTTCAAGAGACAAAGGAAATGGTGGCTCCCTTAACTATGAAACACAAGGATCTCTGCATTCCATTTTTAGTAAATGCTACATGACATTCTTTTTGAGCTTTCTCTTTTCAAAGAATATTAGATATGCATTCTTCATAATATAGGATGTATACACAGATATAAAATTAAAACTACTTGTGTCTTTTTGACCAGGATACATATAATTCAGACACAGTGACAGTTGGATTTAAAATTATGTTTTCAATGTACTGTCCAAAAATCCTGTCTTTATAGCCTCAAGGAAAATATTAGCATTCCAACCTGACATCTAGTGGCATTTTCCACACATCACATGCACTTTACACTACATATGTAGACAAAGCCACAGAAATATAAATGGTTCTCCAGTGAAAGTACCTGAAGGAAAAGACAAGCATCACAGAGGAAAATGTGTCCAATTAAGCACTGAGTTCCAGAAAAAAAGAAACAAGTAGAGACAGATAACAATCAAATGGGAAGGAGAAGAGATTTTTTGAATAAAATTACAGAAACTAGGGAAAACTTATGCAAAGATGGGCACTATAAAAGGTAAAGGTGGCAAACATCTACTGGAGAAAGAAGATATAAAGAAGAGATGACATAAATATCTAGAAGAATTACATGAAAAACAGCTTCAAGCTGATGATATGCATGAAGGTTTAATCACTGAACTGGAGCCAGACATTCTCTAAAATGAAGTTAAATGGGCTTTAGAAGTATAGATAACACTGAAGCTAGAAATATTGGCCATATTGCTTAAAACCTTGCAAGATGATGCAGTTAGTGTTACTTGTGGTCTGTACGCAGGTATGGAAAACACAGCAGTGGTTAAGAGACTGGAAAAGACAGATTTATATTCCAATGCCAAAACAGGGCAATACTAAGAAATGTTTAAACTACCAAACAATTGTACTGATCTCATATACTAGTAAAATAATTTTGTAATCTAGACTTCAGCAATACGTGGAACAAGAACTGCCATAAGTACCAGCCAGATTCAGAAAAGCCCCCCTTTCCTCCCCCCCAAGATCATACTGCTAACATCCACTGGATAGTGGAAAGGACAAGGGAGTCATAAAAAGCACTCTATTTTTGCCTTATTGATTATCCTAAGGCTTTTGATAGCTCTTCAAGACATGAGAGGTACCCACCTCATTTCCCTAAGGAAGAATTTTTACCATGTCCAGGAAGCATTGCTTACAACAGAATATGGAGAAACTAAATGGTTCAAAATTGGGAAAGGAGAGCACTGCGATTGTATACTACCGCCTTATTTGTTTAACATATGTAAACTATATCAGGAGAAATTGCTGAGAGAAACATCAACAACTTCACTATGGTGATGATACAACTTAAATGGCTGAAAGCGAGGAAGTCTTAAGGAATATCCTTTTGAAGGTGAAAGAAGGGAATTCAAAAGCCACCCCTCTGCTCAATATTTAAAAAAGTAAGATTACTTCAATAGGCAACACCAACCAGTTCCAAAGAGGTAGAGACAAAGCTAAAATGGTTACAGATTTTATCTTTAGGCTCAAAAATTAACAGGGATGGTGACTGTAGTCATGAAATAAAAAGCTATTGGCTATTTGGGACAAAGACTACAAACCATCTAGAGAAAAAAAACTGAAGTTCAGAAACATCAAACTAACAAAGATACGTATGGTCAAGAACATGGTTTTCCCAATTGTACATATGGCTGTGAAAGCTGGACCATCAGGAAGGCTAAGAAAGAAAAATTGAGGTATTTGAACTGTGGTGCTGGAGAAAATTGTTTTGACTGCAAGAAGAACAAATCAGTCAATACTAGATGAAATAAAAGCAGATGAAACAAAACCAGACCACTCCCTGTAAATCCTAATAATGAGACTAAAGCTTGCATATTTTGGAAGCATCATGCAAGAGATCCTCACGCCTGGAAACATCAAAGGCAATCAAGAAGAGAGGGTAACAGAAGACAAAGTGGCTACTAGCTATTATCAATTATCACACAAGTATGAGCTTACAAGAACTCAAAGAAATCATTACTGATGGACAATCCTGGTGAAACTATGTTCATTCCGTTGTGAAGAATCAGAAACAACTGAGCAACAACAAAAATGAAGTGAGCAACAGCATATGGCACAAAAACAGGGGTGATAAATGTACAACCCATGGTCTATAAATGGCCATCAGCAGCCTTTCTGCAGTTCCCAGAACACACTTACACTCTTGAGTTTTTGCTCCATTTTTGGGTCTTTCTAAGCAAGTGAAGGGGTATTTACAGGCAACATGGATTATTTGAGCCTTTAAAGTAAATGTAAGGATGTATGTATATTTCCTTATGTCTTAGTAGATGGTAGTAACTGGCCGGTCTTAAGATTCTTCTGTTTTAAAAGGAAAACCATAATGGAATACATATCTAACAAAGAGGAAGAAGTTTACCAAACAAAGAGAGCAAACAGCAGCAAGAACAAACCCAATACTGCCCTATTTTTTGAAATTCACTGAAATTCTCTTTCAATAACTTGAAAAAGAAAAAAATAAAATAATGGCCAACAGCAACCTGCAGAAAACTTAAGAAAATGTAAAATTAAAAACTTTAATTTTTTAAAATTAAAAACTTTGATTTTTTAAACTCTGGGTAATTCTTTCTCATCACTACCATACTATGTTGAACAAAGGTAAAAGAATTTATGCAAAATGATGCAATGTATGTAAAATCATGCAAATTAGGATTAATTTGGGAAGTTACAGGACTTTTTGTTCCCCAGACATGGAATGACATTTCTGTTTTCATTTTTTTCTAAGCCCAGATAACACACAACCCTGAGAGGTTTACAAAACAGAGTTGGTAGTGATCATATGGACTTAAGCCATTAAGTCCAACCCTTGTTCAATTTAGGAAGCCCAGAAAGAGGACAGCTAAAATCACTTCCATGAAATTAGAAGGAGGTCCTCATGTATGTCTCAGGCTTCAGGTTATTCACTCAATGGATGATCCTCATCCTGAGCAATCAACCTCCTCTTATTTCTGATCCTTCTACTGCAGCATTCCATGACATTTCAATTACGTGGCTGACTAAAGCCATATCATATCCAGATCCACTTATTTGTCTTAATAGCTGATTGGACCAGAAGTGAGCAAAAATTCAGGAAATACACCCAGTAACTTGTTTGTTCTCTGCAAGGTCAACCTTACCTGTCTGTAAGTACTAATGATGATTTCTCTCAGGTGATAGTGCATAGGCGTCATTGTTTCGCTCACAGTATCCAATGCCATGTCAACTTCCTTCTTCATACGGTGTCCCTCTGGCAATATCTGAACCACCTTCATTACCACCTGCCAGATAAAAGCAAAACTTACAGCTTATCATAAAGCTTTCCCTTCTGGAATCTCTTTTCCCATAGAGGGACTAAAAACTCAGCAAAGAAAATGCCTCCAGCAGGTCTAAGAAGAAAAACAGTTTGTCCACAAAGGCAAAGTTTAGTACTTATATATCCACTTTGCATTGTGAAAAAAACAACGTAAGGAAAGAGATGTTGAGATGCATACTTGACTCTGTTTGCCAATACAAAACCTATCCCTACCAAAACTCCAGGAATTTGCATTGGTTTTCATATATCACACATGGTCAGTGCTACCCTTTCATCTACTGAAGACTTCCTTCTTTGTTTAAAATAGACAAATGCCACACTATCCAGTATTTGCACCGATGCCCTTTGCTTATTGAACCCTTGTAGTTCAATAAGGTCAGTTTGTGGACCATTTCTATGGTAACTGTGTAAAAACTTGTGAGGAGGCAGGTACAATCTCATTATCCAAGACCCGCCCGCTCTGTACAAGCATTTACATTGCACACATATACAAAAGGGTCAGAGCTTGGGTTGCAATGCCACACCTGCCATCTTGCAGATGTTGACCCCACTGGGGACATCCATGCTCCAATGGGATCTCTTGCACTCCTCCAACTACTCTACGACTGTAGAGGCAGCAGCAGAGATGGGAGATGCTCATTGTTCAGTCAAAACATGCTGTAATCATTCTGAGCAGCAACCTTTCAAGTATTCTGTCTGTTCTTTGTGCTGCCAGTATTCTGTTATTGTCTGGTTAGTAGCTGTGTTGCTTCTTGTCAAAGTTGTTCCAGCCTGCTCAGTAGAGTTGCTGGGATCAACCATAGTCCCTGCTGTTCCAGGTTTACACTGGGCAGGTTATACAGAGTGGAAAACTGAAAGAAATGCAATAGTTAAACCCAAAAGGAAGATAGCTGGAAGCTGCATATCCACTGATCTGTCTGGTACAATACTATTCAAAGAAAAAATCTGGTAAAAAGGTGTAAAGAGTTTTTTGGGGTGGGTTGCTGCTAGAATGCATGTGGGTCTTCATGCATTGTGCAAAGTTTTACTTTGCAAACAAATAATGCAAAAATGTTGCTCTTAATGTATAAACACCAAGGCTTTTAGCATGCACTTAATGTAATTCATCTATTCAGCTTTGGTACGTGTGTGTACATTTTGTTCATTCTCTCGTTCCTTGTTCATGCTGAGCATCAAGATGTATTCAAAAATGCAAAGGATAGATTGGTTTGGCTGACCAGCTAAGCGTTGAGTGCGTGCACTCTCTACCAGCTCTTGCCTCTTGCTGTGATGTTATTGCTATTCCTCGTCTAAAAGCACCAGCAATCTTTTGTGTGTGTGTCGGGGGAGGGGGGGGCTGGCCATTACTGTTACATGTGAGCAACCCCCAATTGCTTTTACTGCACTTGTGCCTGGCAGAGAGGCTAAAAAAGGAATTATGCAAATCTATTACCTGGCCTCACTAAGGAAGTCAGGTAGGGAAACCTACATAAAAAGGGGCCAGAACACTTAAAACATTTTTGCTCTATCAGAGCCCAGCCAGTTTAGAACTCATGTTGATACAACATTTCAGGTTGAGCTTTTTTGTTCAAAGCTGTTTAAGATGGCTTCTGTTTCATGCATGTTCCCATTGCTAAATTAAAATATGTCTTACTGAATAAATCTCAAGCAGCAGGGTTGGCATGAAACACAAACTCAGCCAATGCATTTATTTATGAACGTGAAGGTTCTCTACTGGAAAAGTATTATATTAAGAATATACAAAGTGCATATTGATTAGAAGACACCAACCTCAAATTCTCCTTTTGTGTACTTGGCATCAGGCACACTCACGATCTCATCCTCCATTATCTCAGGGATTCCCTGCAGCAAGAAGACAGCCTTAGCCTTGACTTTAAAGCCATGGAAAAGCTAAAACAGTGCCCCCCCCCCTTTTAAGAAGCTGGCAATATACTATTTAAGAGATATAGTAAAACCAGGATTACCAATAATTTCCGGTACTCCTTTTCTTTCTCTGTGTTGATTTATAACAAATGTATTCTTTTGTAACCCACTACATCTTTCAGTGTTCAAAAATCTTTGGACCACCGATAAACCATTTTACAGAGAGCCAGTTTGGCATAGTGGTTAAAGCACCAGGCTAGAAACTGGGAGTTCCAGTCCTGCCTTAGGCACGAAGCCAGCTGGGTGACCTTGGGCCAGTCACTCCCTCTCAGCCCTAGGAAGAAGTCAAGGGCAAACCACTTCCAAAAAACCTTGGCAAGAAAACTGTAGGGACAGGTCCAAGCAGTCACCAGGAGTCAAGACTGATTCAAGGGCACACACAGACACACGGGGGGGGGGGGGCATTCTACATCCCCCCCTCCAAGAAACCCTACGGCACTGCACGGGATTCTGGAGTGTTTTCTTAAGTGCACATGGCAAACTTTCTAGCAAAGTCTGTCTAACATAAGAAGAGTGTGCTGTTGCAAGCCTCAGCTACAGGCACCCTTTCTTCTCCCCTCTTCTCTTGGCCCAGCTGCAGAATGGGTCCAAATTTGTTCCTTGCACCAAGCTGATCATAATGGCCTCGGTGAGTTAAGGTCACTGTCATTCAGGACACCTATCATTAACATAAGACAATGAAAATAACAATTTTGGGAATAATGGGCATGACTTAAAAAGTACTGTTATGGTATACTGAAGGACTGATGAAGGTTATAAATGGCAGAGAACTTTGGGAATAATTCAGTATAGAAATATAGTAACTATTTTTCTGATTATGTGCAATTCAACGTGCTGCTCAAATCCCAAACTGTGGTTAACAAATTAGGTCCATAACCTAGGGATCGAAATTGACTTACTGCCAAACTATAAACAAATTAGCCAGAGTTTGTTAAGATGAAGCAACAAGCCAAGGTTGATCAAATTCCAACTCTTCCACCTGGCTATGCTGCAAAAAAGAAAACAACCTTTGGCTTGGCTCTGACATTCTTAAGGATAGAATTGACATGACAATAGACTAAATGCTTTTATATCAGAAACAAACAGGCACTGATTCTGGAAAAACATCTCAAGTTGTTCTCTGGCCAGAGCTGAGAGAGCTGTTTCCAACGGCACTCTGTTATTCTTTCATTTCCCACTGAAGACCACCTTGTAAGCTTTCACAGAACTCCAGCTGCCTGGGAAACAGTCTGGACACCCCTGCCCTGATTAAGCACAACTTGGAATATTTATATTAAAATCATGATCCATAACAAAAATTAAACATGAGCATATAAGTCCACATTAACCTAATTTTTTAAAATTGTTTTAAAAATCAAATTCCAACAGAAAAGGAAGACATATTTCAACAAGGGGCAACATAATCAGAATTAGGATAAGGTCGCTTTCCAAGGGCCATCTGGAATAGCAAATCATGACAAACTTTTCTAAATGGCTGAAGAGACAAGGATGATTTTAGAAAGACCAGGAAGCTCTTGCTTAACACACTTCCTCAGAGGTAGATTGCAAAGACTGCCAATATCTGCACACATCAATGGAAAGATGTCATACATCATGTTTTATTTCTTGCTCTTCCAGATATGCAGCTCCCGAAGTAGTTTGAAAGATTAAAACCCATGATCCAGAAGCCAGCAAGCTTTGAGACAAATGTGGAATCTGATACGCTTTGCACAATCCACTGAGGATTTCATTCATGATCTCAGGTACCGCTTCCTACAGAATTCTAGACTGTTCAGAGAATGGGCCATGTCTCTCCAAAGGAGCACATACATTGAAATGCCAAAGGATGAGGACAGCAATAACCATGGCTGTTGTGGTTCTTCCTCTGCCACTGTGACAGTTGAACACAAAGGCTGTGTGAGAGTCTTCAGCCAAAGCACCCCTCATGGCTTCCAGCATCTGATCAAAATCCTATAGACAGAAACCAAAGATGTCATGAGTAAACTGCTCTTTTTTCAGACTAGAACTTTTCTGTTAACTTCCAAATCACTTAAGATGAATTCAAGTAACAAACTGAAACTGGACCCCACACAAGTTGAGAAGAGTAATTATTTATTGATTGTACCTGTTCTTTAAAACTCGACCTAGTGTGTAAATGACATGTATAGCTTCCAGTTATTGAGAAGTACAATAATCTGTCCTTCTTGTGTGTGTTCCTATTCTCATAGGCAAGATACCTTCTGAGATATTGTTAACATTAGAATAAATATATTTTAATGTCATAAGATCACACAGATATTGGCAGATGTATAGATTTCAATTAATAATAGTTTGCTAATCATTCCAAGGGGGGCGCAGTGGCGCAGCGGCTTAATGATGCTGAAAGTTGCCGGCCAGAAATGGTCGACGCTTCAGCGGTTCGAGTCCAGCCTT